ATCGAACGCTTCGTCGATTATTCTACCGTATTTTTTTTTTTTTTTTATAAAGACTTGTGGAGCATGGCTTAGTGACCAAGCACAAACCTGAAATCGAAGAGGTCTGAGATTTAATCCCAGGTGCCAGTTTTTGGTAACGGTTTAGTACCAGACACTCACCTGGAAGGAAGTCTCTGATTTCAAACGAACAGACATTAAGCTGAAACATCTGAAATCGTTGCCTGTTAGGTGAGGCTCTTTATCAAGCACTTTAACATTGAGAAGGAGAAATATCAACACAAAAAGCAGAATTAAAATTGAGTGTTTTCATAACAATAATTTTCTTTTGAAATTAGAAAAGTTTATATTATGAACTAAAGGGTACTATTTTTTAAAGAAATAGTCCGTATTGTACGTCTAAATTCTGTGATGACTGAACATCAGTAATTATACTTCTTAAGGCCTATCATATTCGTTGTATAAACTAATAGTAGTAGCAATCTAAATGTCTCATACGTAAAATGATTGTTTATTCATCTCTGGACTTCTTCAATTAATGCCGTGAGTGGTTGTGTGGTTTTGGGGGTTTTCTTCAAACGTGGATTCTTCTTCTTGTAAGGATTTAAGAAACTCTCTATTTCTCCTTTTCTTTTTTGGATGGGCGCTTATATATCTTCATGTCGCCTGTTGTCCCACGTGCGAGGGTTAGCTGAAAAGTTCATAGGCTGACTATGGAGGAATGATGCTAGAGCTGTGAAATCTTACGGGCATTCATTTCAGCTCTTCTTATTAATAACTGCATTGTTCATTTCCATGTAAACTGACACCTGACTGTTCAAAGAAGACTTCAAACGTAACTAGTAGCAGCTTCTCTTCAAAACTGAGAAAATTTAGTATCGTGGTATTCTGTATCTACAGAAAAAGGGTTTGTCCCACAAGGACATTCATGCTGATATGGTTGCTACATTAGAGGATGACGTACCAGCTTTATCAACAGTACTAAAGTTGGCAGCTGAATTTAGGAGAGGAAGAGAAAGTCTTTAAGATGATCTAAGGTCTGAATGTCTTGTATCTGCCACCACCGCCCCACCCAAAAACAAACACTCCCCTCCAAAAAAAAAAAAAAAAAAACATTGATCGTGGTTGCCAGATGATGATGGAGGACAGGCGACTGACTATAAATCAAATATCCAATGCAATTAGAATATCCCGTGAGAGAGTCGAGAATATTCTGATTAATGAACTTGGCATGACGAAGGTGGGTGCCATGTCTTCTGACATCTGATCAAAAGCGCACCAGACTGATCACATTACGGGGAAATCAGACATTGTTTAAGGCAGATCAAGCTGGTTTCCTTGAACGTTTTCTAACCCAGGATAACTGCCTTGTTCATTTTCAGGTAAACTGACACCTGACTGTTCAAAGAATACTACAAAATTAACTAGTAGCGACTACCCTTGAAAATGGTCAAAATTTAGCATAGTTGCTACATTAGGGGATGATGCTCCAGCTTTATCAACAGTGCTAAAGTTGGCAGCTGAATTTAGAAGAGAAAGGGAAAGTCTTTTATGATGATCCAAGTTCTGAATGTCCTGTATCTGCCACCAACAACAAAACAAGAAACAAAAAAACATTGATCGTGGTTGCCAAATGGTGATGAAGGACAGTCGACTGACTATAAATCAAATATCCAATGCAATTAGAATATCCCGTGAGAGAGTCGAGAATATTCTGATTAATGAACTTGGCCTGACGAAAGTTTCTCTTCGGTGGGTGCCATGTCTTCTGACATCTGATCAAAAGCTGACCAGACTGATTACATTACGGGAAAATCAGACATTGTTTGAGGCAGATCAGACTGGTTTCCTTGAACGTTTCCTAACCCAGGATAAGTGTTGGATCCATCACTTTGAGTTAAAGTCAAATAGACAATCCATGCAGTGGAAACATTCTCACCTCAAGTCATTTAATTTGCAGATTAATGATCTGAAACATTGTGATTGCAACAAAAAAGATGAGATTAGCCCGAACGCAAATAATATAAATAATAACTCATCATGATGAAATTCAGACAGAAACTGTTTTCACTGAGAGTTGGATGAAAAGTTCGTAGGCTTATTATGAAGAATTAATGCTAGAGCTGTGAAAATCTTGCATGCATTAATTTCAACTCTTTTTAGTAATAACTGCAGTGTTTCTTTCTAGGTAAACTAACATCTGACTATTCAAAGAAGAATTCAAAGGTATCTTTAGCAACTTCTCTTGGAAATGAATAAAATTTGGCATTGTGGTATTATCAAGTAACTGCAGAAAAAGTGTTTAATCTCCAAGGACATTCATGCTGGCATGGTTGCTACGTTAGTGGATGATTCTCCAGCTTCATCAACAGTGCAAAAGTTGGCAGCTAAATTTAAGAGATAAAGGGAGAGTCTTGCATGTCCTGTGGGGAAAACATTGATTGTGTTCATCACATGGTGATGGATAACAGGAGATTGGCTGTAAATCAAATAGTCAATGCTATTAACATATGACCGTGAGAGAGAGAGAGAGAGTTGAGAATATTCTGCACAATGAACTTGGCATGATGAAGGTTTCTGCTCGGCTGGTGCTATGTCTTCTCACACCTAATCAAGGTAATGGCCTCACGTATTTAGGTTGCAAAACACAGTGTTCATTGACTGTTTTCAAAAGGGCCACACCATCAATAGAGAGTACTGTGGCAACTTGCTGAAGCAGTTACGAAAGGCTATCAAGATCAAACACCAAGGAAAACTGACGAAGAGGGTCTTGTTTAATCAGGACAATGCTCCAGCAGACAAGTCCTTGGTTTCAATGGTTGCTGTGTTTGAATGTGGCTTTGAACTGATTGATCACCCTTCCTATTCACCCGATTTGACTATCATCTGTTCCCCAACATGAAAAACACTCAACTGGGAACTAGTATAGTAGTAATGATGGCGCCATATCTGCTGTTGATGACATTTTTGACCAATAGGATGAAAGCTTATTCACCAATGGGATCCAAGCACTAAAACAGCGATGGAAGAAGTATGGGAACCGCAAGAGGGACTATTTTGAAAAATAAATCTCATTTGGTCACATCCCATGAGAGTATCTTGGTCAGCGTATGAATTTTTCAACCGGCCTCCGGATGCACATTCTGAGATACGTCATTATCGCTGACGTGACAGATAAACATAGGAAATATCTGTGTAACCAGAAATGAAAAGAGAACTGAAATCGAACAGGAGGATCTAACAATATGCGAGACATGCCCTAAAAATATCCAGATATTTAATAGGTAAAAAAAATGTCTCCCTTGAACTACTCCTTTTGTCCCCTTTCAAAGTACTTCGCTTAGGACAACGCTTAGGACAACGCACGCATTCAATCATCCCTTCCATTTTTCCAAATAGTCTGCCTCATTACGTTCTACTTAATCTTGCCCACGGGTCTGAAATTTTCTTCTCTTCAATAACGATACCCAAGTCACAGGGGCTTACGGCCATATTACGTTGAATCTCCGGTTCCTGTACGATCACCGAAGTTAAGCAACGCCGATTCTGGTTAGTATCTAGATGGGTGATCGCTTAGGAATACCAGGTGCTGTAAGCTTGAATGTGCGGGTGGTGTAATGGATTTGGCTCGGAATTGTTAATCGGAGAACCGAGTTCCAATTCAAGTTGGGTTCGTTATATTTCCTTACGCGCAAATATCCTTGGGAAGAGCATGAAGTAAGACTTATATCACTAAATCATTATTAACGTAGGTCAGTCGATGACGGGAAGATATATAAGCACCCACCCGAGAGGAAAAGGAGAAGAGTTTCTCTTACATCGACGCGAGAAAAAAGTATCCACATTCGGAGAAAAGACCCGATATTAATTGACGAAGCCAGTAGAGAAATAAACACTGATTTTATGTATGAAAGACTTAACATTGTGTTCATATTAGTTAATATATTGTGTTCATATTAGTCTGTACAACGATAATATTACCGTCACACAGTACGCAAGCTCAATTATTGGTGTCTCATTGCCAAATAAAAATTCCGCAAGAGAGATTCTGTTCGCGCATGCACAGTAACGTCCTCTCTTTTTAGTTACCAAGTTACATCAAACCAGTGAAACATGTTCTTGAGATATTCAAAATGGTATGATACTTTTCCGACATAGCTCGTATATCTAAAGGTAAGAGTGCGTGCAGTAAAGTTATATTAATTAACCATGGCTAATAAGGTGCGTCATTATCGCTGATTTGTACCAGATGAACATAAGAAATATCTCTATGACCAGAAAGTTTGAAAGAAGGACAGAAAGGTGAATAAAAGACTCTTAAGTCTCCAATCCTAAATGTCTTTCTTGTTGATAGCTGGTATTACGAACTAACTGCTGCGTGCAGGTTCTGTCCTAAATAGGTCTTCAACAATTATGTTCAACAGCCGTGTTCAGTCGAAACCTACATACATCTACTTAACTGCCCGGATAAACGTCCACCGTTGCAGTAAATCCTACTGTAATGATTATAAGCGACACCAGACACTAAAGATGAAAAAAAAAATTGTTTAAAAAGTCCTCCTAGTTAGACGGCAGAGCCCATTATCTATAAAATAGGGAGTTACTTTTCAGTCAACCGGTACATACAAAATTTAGTTTCAACCCGTCCTTCCCCAAAATTCGGCATGGAATATTCAGAAAAAAAATATTGAATGATCTCCTTTTCCGTGATGTGTCCTTTCAGGATATGAGCAATCATGTCTTTCCGCGACGTTTTTTTTTCCTTTTTCGCTTTAAAGAACATTTACTTCCTTTCTATTACTCTCTGTACAGACATCCATTTACGTTCAATATGTTACGCAATATTTTCCTCTGCACCTCTTGCCGTCAAAATGTCCTATGAGTGTCAAATTCCCCAAATCCTTATGTCTCAGAAATGTCAATTGTGTCTTTCTTTTCTGATTCTAAGTATCTTCTTTGTCCCCATTAAAATTTCATATTCCTCACATGCTATGTCTATAATATTCTCAGCATCCTTCTGTAGAACTATATTCCTGTTGTCTCAAGTCTCTTCTTTATCTGTCAAGGTATTGTCCTGGATTCACTACCATACAGGAGGATTGATATTGCATAGAAGTTCAGCATCCTTTTCTTTGTTTATAACGACATTTTCCTGTTTCTTAATACTTTGTTTAGTTTTTGGAAGTCATCTTTTGATATTCTAATGTACCTTCGGATTTTGATGTCATATTTTCCGTCGTCTGTTAAAACAATTCCCAGATAGTTAAAGTCTTGTACTTGCTTGATTCCGGCGTCTCCAAATCATAGTTCATATCTTCGGGTGTCTCTCTTGCTAACGACCATATATTCTACCTTCTTACAATTGATGATTAGTTCTTTTTTCTCTCTTTCCTTTACTACCTTGACTAGAAGTTCTTTCAGTTTCCTTTCTGACATTAACACGATATCGTCTGCCTATCTTATATTATTAAGATTTTGTGCGCCAATAGTAAATCCTGGTAGGACTTCTAGTTCTTTTCGGATTGCCTCGCTGTATAATGTTACTGTTAATTCATCCATGTTCCTTGCTTAGCCCAATTCAAAACAAATTTATCTCTGTGCATAAATTCAAATTTAGGAAATTTTTATATTTGTGTCTTATATACCAAGGGTGGCCAAATTTACTTAATGTACGAGCCACACCCGAGATATAAATACAGGCTGTTTTAGAACCGCAAGGCAAGCGTTCCTCTGTAAACTTTAATTACATGAAATTTCTTTAATCCTTTTGTCCTTCCAATAACATTCCTTCCTTCAGCACTGAAGAGTAATGCGTTACTATTACAAATTAAGATTTAAATTCTTAACTATTTTTTTATTGAACGAGAGCAGAGGTTTATTTCTTGTTTCCTGTATAGGATGTGGTGTGCCAGTTCCTTTTTCGCATGGCCTTAATGATTTAATTGTCTTAACTTTTGGGTGATCTGACTGATCAGTGGCTGTGATATTTAATTATGAGAGTACCGGGTTGGCAGTTATCTGGTTGCTGCATCCCGACTCATAGTAAAGACCCCTAACTTTTTGGTAACTCTTAGAAAGTCTGCTTTGTCAACAACCACATAATAGAGATACTGCAAGCGTAGCTTAGATGTGGCACAAAGCCGAAAGTACGGGGCACCCAGTGAGGACCGAACTCACTACTTAGTCGTAATTATTCTAGCGAGACAAGCTTGCTAACCATTACACCACCTCGAGGATCGAGGTATCAGCAGACCATGTTGCTCATGGATAGATGTCCCTATATGTACTTCCGGTGTACAACCCGGAGGACACTTTAGGCTTTAGTCTTAGACACCTACTGGTTAGTTTGTACTTCCATAGACGATGGATAGTGATAATTATTTTGGCCTTTTTTTTTTCTTGTAAATATAATCTTTTCATGACACTTACAGTTCTCTCGCTCTTTAATATTTTGTTTTTCTCATATACTCTCACATCCTTTGTATCTTAGCGGCTTTATCGCCTTGCTTGAGGTGAGATGATTAAAACAAAAAAAAAATAAACTAACCATAACCACTAATCCCGTTTTAATCCAGTTAAATTACGGTTCATACGCGGCTAATGATTATAAAGCTTGTATAGAAACTGTAATGAGAAGTAGAGACACGATGGAATAATGGTTTGCGACTCGGACTGAGAAATCGGAGAGTCGAGTTTATTTACATTCCCTTACGCGCTAATATGATAATATCCTTGGGAAAGGTATAAATCTATCTCTTCTCTTCTCTCCCCTCTCCATGGGTAAAATAGCAGACTAAGTCATAGCCTTCTCTAGGAGAGGAAAGACTCAAATCGGATCACATTATCATAAAAAGTGTCTGTACAGACATCTGGAGATCACCTGTGAATCCAGCTTCCCACTGAAACACTACTATCGATGTGCGAATAATGATTGTTCCATCTTCAAAGAAATATTGATAATAAACAACAACAACAAAAAATACAAAAAAATAATTACCGTATTTGACGGCATATAAAACGCACTTTATTTTTTAATAAAATATCTTTTAAAATTCCCCTGCGTCTAATATGCCCACTATTTACATTATTCAGATTATTGTCCTCATCTTTGTCGCCATATTTATTACAACGTTTCGGCCGTTTTACACTCCGGCCTTCTTCAGGCGGTTGGAATGTCGAACTGAACTTTTATTTCGCTTACTGGGGTAGACTGTTCTAGCTCCACGTTGTTTAATGGATGTCAGTTACCAGTTATCTCCTGTTAATTCCCCTCTCCAAGTTCTCCACCGCCTTAACCAGGTACTGAACTCACACTCTTTGGGTCCTGTCATTGGATCTAACTAACGTGCCATGTGTCCTTGAGGACAATTGTGTATGAATTTCTGGGTATTATAAACCTTCAGCAGCCATTTTTTACCATAGAGCAATTTTTGCTGTTATCATTGCAAATATGGCTACAAAGATGAGGACAATAATCCGAATAATGTAAATAGTGTACATAATATCTCATCTCAGAAATATAGACAGATGTCTTATATGGCATATGTAGGTTTAAAATTCGCGATAGTCGGCTGAAATTAGCTACCTGGCAACTCCTATTAGCTTAGACTTTAGAATAACTTTTATATACATATTGTCATTATTTCAAAGGCTATTATGCGGATTAAAAGTGTCATCATTGATAATATTCATTATATTCATTTCATCACGTTTAATATTAGTTCTTTGTTTCACTAAAATTATGTGCAATAAATTCAAATTATATATTTGTAAAATATATTTGTTTCATTAATATTTTCCTTGTGATAACAACCGATTGCATTGGTAGAAATATAATCAGAATTTTTATATCCTAATTATTCCACTAAGACGTTTACAAGACACACGTTCTACGGATCATATAAAGGAAAAATTTTGACTGAATTTTAATGGTAACTGTAGTTTTGCTCAATTATAATAATTGCTTGATTTTTATTTTGTTTTCTTACCTTTGGATATAATAAAGATTTTATAGGCTCGTGTTCTTTTTTCCTTATTATTTTTCGTTTAATTGTAATCATGGCTTGTTTAACCAAAATAATACCTCATAAATATAGCCTAGGCGGACCATTTAGTAATAATTTTACTAATTACTAATTTTTTTCTTGATTTGCCCTGCTGAAATTGGGGTGCGTCTTATACACCCGTGCGTCTTATATGCCGTCAATTACGGTAGTTAAAAAAGAAAAATATTAAGTTTTTATTACGGGCCACCATACTTACAAACGGAAGCAATTCAATTTATGCTGCTGTCTGTCAGCCTCATTATCGATGTCATAAAAATTCATTTTTTAATGTTTTTAAATAAAAGTTGATGAATTTTGGTAACGTTAAATCGATTAAAAATTGTTTCGTTGTTACCATTATTTTTATTTTTCAATAGATTTTTATTTTTATTTTTTTCCAATATGGAGTTTTCTGTCAACCAGATAGCGGCCATTGTGGTTTTTGTCGGTTCATTTAAAAATTTTGATTTCGTATCCGTTTAATGGAACATTAATTAATTAAAAGTTTTTCTTCTTTACAAGACGCAAATGTGGGCTATGATGTTTGTCGT